GTACTTCTCATTAGGTTAAAAGATTCAGATTTTTAATGACACTAAAAGTCTAGGGCTGGAGGAGATGAAGTGGAGTGAAGGTAATGAAAGTGTGGTCTTTAAGTGGTAGAATTCGGCTGTTAATTGTGGGAATGGAGCAGGAAATAATAAACAGTTAATTCCAGCCCTCTTTTTTTCTCCTTCGCTGTCCTGTTACTAAGATCAGATGAGACTTAATGTGTGACAGATGAGACTTCATGTGCTCATGAAGAAACTGGGTCCTTGATACTCAGCTCGTAAAGTGTCCTGGTTCTCAAACTTAGCTGCAGCTTGGAATCACCTGAGGACCTTTAAAAATACTGATACTGGGGTTTTATTCTAGAGGTCTGGGGTGCATGCTGCTGTGAGGATTTTTAATCTCTCCCAGGTGATTAAAATATGCAGTTAAAGGTGAGAAACTGTTCTAATTGAATCCGTTCATCCTGGAGTGAGCTCACCCAACTTCATCTCTTACACCTGCTCCCACATCCATGCTACCCAACTGGACTCTGTCCTGGAAGGTCAAGTAAAACTTTCCTGGGGAACTTGTTAAACGATTCTGTTTCTTAATTACAAGCCTAGCAATTTTCAGTCACATAGGTCTGGGGTAGGGCACAAAAATGCACTGGATTTTTAACAAATATGTCTCCACATCCCAGGGGATGATGATGTAGGCCATCTTCTCCTGAGTGATTGTTACTGTCGTAATAAACAGTAAACTGATTGTTATTTATTCAGCACATGCAAGTGTGCCTTAGACGTTATGAACATTATCTCTGATCCTCACAATGCTGGGAGGACTCCACGTGTCTCCTCCCTGACCTCTGCCCCAACGCTTGCCATACCTCGCACTGTCACACAAAGCCGGCATCTCGTCTAAGCCTCCTTGAGCTAACAAAATAATCCAGAGTTAGGCTTCTGGTGTCAGGACCCTGACTCTGTACTGGGGAGTTAATATAAAAGTTGGCTTGGCTTTTCTTAGTCCTTCTCCTATACTTTCATTTATCACTTTTAGACCAGTTTTTAAAAGATTTTCCTACTGGGCGTGGTGGCTCACGCCTGTAATCCCAGCACTTTGGGAGGCCGAGGCGGGTGGATCACGAGGTCAATGGATCGAGACCATCATGGTCAACATGGTGAAACACCATCTCTACTAAAAATACAAAAATTAGCTGGGCATGGTGGCGCACGCCTGTTGTCCCAGCTACTCTGGAGGCTGAGGCAGGAGAATTGCTTGAACCCAAGAGGCGAGGGTTGCGGTCAGCTGAGATCTCGCCATTGCACTCCAGCCTGGGTAACGAGCAAAACTCCGTCCCAAAAAAAAAAAAAAAAAAGATTTTCCTTTATTGCAAATTGTTTATTTGGTACCTTAGAAAATACAAATAAGCAAGCAAGAAAGTAAAACATCACCTGTTTCCCAACAGGTGACCACCAGTTTAAAAAATTTTTGAATTTTGTGATATAAATTAAAATGTTAATGTTCCATTGTCCGGTCATATTTTAACTACATTTTTGTTATGCATTTAGATGATTTTTGTTTGTCTTGAAAGAATACCGTGACATTTTTTGTTGTTAACTCTAAACACATTCATGATTGTTTCCTTAGGATAATTCTCAGAAATAGAGTTATAAGCTGATTGGTATATGCATTCTTAAAGCTAGTGACATTTTTAACCAAATTGCTCTTCGGGAACGTTTTGTTCTGTATATATTTCCTCCTTCTCTTACACTGATTACCATCATTTTTTTAAATCTTATTTTTGTCCTAAGGTTAAGTTTTTTTGTTTTGTTTTGTTTTTTTAGTCAGAGTCGTGCTCTATCACCCAGGCTGAAGTGCAGTGGCACAATCTCGGCTCACTGCAACCTCTGCCTCCCAGGTTCAAACGATTCTCCTGCCTCAGCCTCCAGAGTAGCTGGGACTACAGGCATGGGCCAATACGCCCGGCTAATTTTTGCATTTCTAGTAGAGACAGGGTTTCACCATATTGGTCAGGCTGGGCTGGAACTCCTGACCTCAAGTGATCCTCCCACCTTGGCATCCGAAAGTGCTGGGATTACAGGTGTGAGCCACCAAAACCGGACGAGGTTTTTTGTTATGTTTGTTGGCTTTTTTCTTTAATTATCGGTTCATCATATTTGTCCATTGTTTTATTGGATAGTCATGTTTTCTTAATAATGTATAAGAGCTCTTTATCTATTACTACCTACAGCCTTTTTCATGACCAAAAAAATGAAAGCTATATGGATACCTTGATCCGACGTCTACAGCTATATTCTCGAAACCTGGAACATCTGGTAGAGGAAAGGACACAGCTATACAAGGCAGAGAGGGACAGGGCTGACAGACTTAACTTTATGTTGCTTCCAAGGTAAAGCAAGTCTTGCTGATGTGGAGGCTAAAACCTTCAGCATGTCCTTCTAGCATTGTTTTTCACTGTATCTATATAGGATTTGTTTCCTTGTATATATTCTTCAGTAGATTATTGGTTTTAAAATGCGTGTACTTTGCTAAGCCTTGTTCCAGTTTGTACTCCACTGACTAACGTTCCGAAGGGCACCCAGTGATTGGCAGAGCTGGAATTCTACCCAAGAGGCCCGAGCGAGAGCCCCTGGTCTGCTTTAGCAACTCTGACCCCAAAATCTCAAACCTGTGAAAGTCAAATCACGTGCCAGAAAACTTGGAGGCAGATCACAGCTTGGGGGAAAGGAGATGGAACACAGTTGGCAAGTGGTGTCTCATAACCTTGTGATAGATGGACAAAACCCATGAGGCCTCAGAGTGCCTGGAAACAATGTGGAACCCTTCATATCCACTTCAGGGATGGCCATTTCTGTCAGAGCTCCATAAACGTTAGTTACATAAAGCATAATTCCTTGCCTGGTCTTTAATGCTGTCGTGACAAAAACAGCATCCTAGTTATCTGGCTGTCTTCCCAGGGTTTCATTGGCGGGGGTTTTAACCACCGTAGTGTCACTCAGGTGGCTTAAATCAGCTGGCTCACCATTTCAGCTTTTTTCCTAGTCTTGGTTCAATATGCCACTTGGCCCACTAGATGGTAGATGTTTTTATTAGATTTCCAAAGGTTCTATCACACAAGTCTCTTCAAGAGCTACAATACACCATGGTGTCACCACAACTCACTTTGGTTGTTCGTGTAAAAATTATATTTGCAAGATAAAACTAAAACATGCACGAGCAACAACTAGAAGAATAAAGAAGAAATATGTATAGCAAAGGGAAATAAACTTAAGACTGTATGCAGGAAACAGATATCACTTAAACACTTATTTGAACAGCACCCCTTGGGGTATTTAAATACATTAAAATAGATGTTTCTTCTTTTTTTGCCATTGTTGTTGTTTTGTTTTTTACTTTGAGATGGAGTTTCGCTCTTGCTGCCCAGGCTGGAGTGCAATGGTGTGACCTCAGCTCACTGCAACTTCTGCCTCTTGGGTTCAAGTGATTCTCCTGCCTCAGCCTCCCAGGTAGCTGAGATTACAGGCACCTGCCACCACGCCCAGCTGATTTTTGTATTTTTAGTAGAGACAGAGTTTCACTCTGTACCCTCGAAAATACTATGTTGGCCAGACTGGGCTAGAACTTCTGACCTCAGGTTATCCACCCACCTTGGCTTCCCAAAGTGCAGGGATTACAGGTGTGAGCCACCGCACCTGGCCAGAAGTTTTGTCTTAAGGGAAGACTTTCTAAGAGATCTACTCTGTCTACTAATTTTATCTGTGTCAGCAACAACCTCTTACCAAAGCTCATCATGTTAATTCCCATCCCTTCCTTCAGTTATTTACAACATGAGTTTCTCTCTCTGGGTAACACACCATTTTCCAAGTGTAATAGTCCATTCTCACCCTTCTATAAAGAACTACCTGAGACTGGGTAATTTAAGAAGGAAGTTTAATTGACTCACAGTTCCACCAGCTTTACAAGAAGTATGGCTGGGAGGGCCTCAGGAAACTTATAATCATGGTAGAAGGGTGTGGAGAAAGCAAGTAACTTCTTCACATGGAAGTGAGAGAGAGAGCAAATGGGGAGGTGCTACACACACTCAATCAACTAGATCTCATGAGAACTTAATAACACAAGAAAAGCAAGGAGGAAATCTGCACCCATGATTCCATCACTTCACACCAGTCCCTCCCTCAACATTGGGGATTAAAATTCAACATGAGAATTGGGAGGGGACGTGGAGCCAAACCATATCACCAGACTCATATGACTTTTCAGATATAAGCAGTGCAATGAATTGCAAATATGGCAGAATATTCAATTTAGTCATTACATCTCTGTACCCTCGAAAATACTATGCACTTTATACAGGGCATGTCAGGAACAACCACTCCACATGTGCCCCTAGGAATCCAAGCAACACCAAAGGAATGTTTTTCAAGGGTTACAAGTTTTGTCATTGTACCAACTAAAAAGGTTTCTCCGGATGCTCTGTAGGTTCTCCAAATGAGTGTTAGAAATCTTTGTGGTTGGTTGGGTACTTTCTTTCCAGGAGAGCCCACCTCCAAATCTGCCCCATCTTCCTGACTATCCAAGGCCTGGGTTATGCAGAGAGTGTAGTGCACAAAAGACTGATGGGTGGGACTGAAGGCTCCTGAGTTCTAGTCCTGGCTATGTCCCTAATGGGCTGTGGAACCTTATGGAAGTCATGCTTTTTTAGACCTCATCTTTCTCATCTGTAACAATGAAAGATTTATTTCCAGTGACTTCTATGATATCACCTAGCTTCCAGTTTCTGATTCTAGTGGCTCCATACTCAGGCCACTACAAAGTGATGGCAAGGACAGACAGGGAACGTCCCCCTTCATGTCAGCCCCCACTCCGTTTTTTCAATGCAGAGGTAACTTGGCACATCAAGTATGAAGTCCCTTCTGGTTGTCCTCCCTCAATCTTGAATCTGATATGCTGCTCCTTATTCAGCAAAGATATTCTAAAAGTTGCTTTAATTTGACTTTTACTGTTTTAGCATCATTTAATTTATTTGCATAATTGATTTTGCTTTTTAAAGTACCCAAATCTGGTTTCAAAATATATCAAATAAACTCTGGTTCAGAATATATCAAAATTTATATTTAAATACATTATTATTTCACAGTAATGTTAAGCAATGCCATGTTACATATGCCAGGAGAGTAAAACTATCGACTTTGTTGAGAAATTCAGATCAAACACCTGTGGTGATTTAAGTAATACCACACTCTCCTCAGCTTCTGCATATAGAGCCATATCTGTAAGAAGCTGATTATCAATAGAGAAGCAAAAGTGGGCAAGTATATATGTGTGTGTATATATATATATATGAGGGTCTTTATGGTACGAAACTTATCTGCTTATATATATTAGTGTTAATAATCAAACACTAAGTTAATGTTGAACCTGCCTATATTCACCTGTGTTCACAACACGTGTTATATGTGTATGTGTGTAATGTTCATGTATGTGATGTACACAACCTCTCTTTGTTTCCTATTCACTTGATTCACTGGAAGTCTCAAATTCTAGAATTCTTTGTAGACAATTCCTACTATCTGAAGGATTTTTGTGAAACAAGAAAAAATTTGCTGAAGTTGAAGGCATTTTTTTTCCTTCCTTATCTAGGCTAGTGGTCAAGTCGCTGAAGGAGAAAGGCATTGTGGAGCCGGAACTATATGAGGAAGTTACAATCTACTTCAGCGATATTGTAGGCTTCACTACCATCTGCAAATACAGCACACCCATGGAAGTGGTGGACATGCTTAACGACATCTATAAGAGTTTTGACCACATTGTCGATCATCATGATGTCTACAAGGTAGCCTCATCTCCTAACAGGCTGAAACAAGTCATGGTACTCCCTGAGGTCATCAGAGCCTGAATTGGCTGTTTCTGTTACTGCTCTTGTCCTCTCTAGTTTACATTTAGTGAATTGATGGTTGACTCTGAGCTAAAAGTGAATAGAAGTAGAAGAATTAGAGGGGTGAGAAGTCAAAATTACCATTTAACTTTAAGAAGCGGCAGAAAAGGTACAACAGGAAGTGCAGCAGGAATGAATTTGGGATACTAAATTTAGACAAAATGGCATACTCTTAAATCGCCTCCAAAAAATAGGCAGTGTTTAGGCTGACTAGAAATGAAGCAGAGAAGACACTGAGGTTATAATGAATAGAAAACCATGCTACAAAAATGTGTACAATTACACATTACAAAATATTCTGTCAAACAGTGTGTAGACATTTGCTAAAGGATTACTTTTCAGGTAATGCAGGGTGTTCCTCAAATTACATAAAGCCATTCAGATTATTCATTTGAACATTTCTAGAATTGTCACCACATCTGGACAATTTGTATAACTGTGAAGTACTTTTAAACGGCTAAATTTCTTTTTAGCTATTTTATCATCCATTAACTAGACTATAAAAACCGCAAAGAAATCAGCGTAGAACAGATTGAACTGGCCCCAGAAAAAGTGTAAAGGGCTATGCTCGTACTGTGTTCCCTAATCACTTTTTGTGTGTGATATGTGATTAACTGATTCTGTTGAACCTCTATGCTTTTCAAAGTGGCAGAGCCACTCATGAGCAACTGTTTCCACAGGTGGAAACCATTGGTGATGCTTACATGGTGGCCAGTGGTTTGCCTAAGAGAAATGGCAATCGGCATGCGGTAGACATTGCCAAGATGGCCTTGGAAATCCTCAGCTTCATGGGGACCTTTGAGCTGGAGCATCTCCCTGGCCTCCCAATATGGATTCGCATTGGAGTTCACTCTGGTATGGAGTTGAGCATCTTAACAAATAGGGACCCACATGTACTGCTGTGCACCACGTAAATCAGAAAGGATAAAAGGTCTTCATGTGTGATCAGCTTCACCTAATGTTTAGTCTTAATTCTTTTTGCCAAATGTGAGGCCCCATGATACATCCTGAGACACTTAGATACTTAGCTCCTGGAGAGCTCTAAGAACAAGACCTTTGAGAGCACCTCTGACTATTGAAATGATACACAGCAAATGTGTACAAAAACAAGAAGCTTTGGACTTCCTATTTAAATCACACCTATGATTTCATTTGTCTCCTCCTCATTTCCTCTCTCCCCACCCCTAACTCCTATCCATTTTCCCACTAAAATATTATAGTACCTTAAGTGGATTAGATTATCTATGAGGGGAAAAAGCACAGCTGGTGAAACTCCTATAATATTTATACCCCCTCCCCTGCCCGCCACTGCAGTAGTACATGAAGTACATGGGTCACTTGCAAAGACCATGAAAGCTACATAGCCTTGTTAAAAGAAAAGCTTTATGCATACTAAATAATTTAACACAGTTTAATTGAGCAACGAACAATTTTCAAATCAGATGGCCCTTCGAACCAGAAGAGGTTCAGAGAGCTTCCCTGGGCAGCTGGGCAGGCAGTGTTTGTAGACAGAAAACAGAAGTGAGAAACAGAAACAACTTGATTGGTCACAACTCCATGTTTCCCTGATTTGGTCAAGGTCCAATCAGTTGACAGCCTGTGATTGGCTGAAGCTCAGCTACTGCGACTGGCTGAGACTCAGCTATTAGTAATAAGTACCTGAGCTAGGCTCTTTGTTCATAGACCAAGCTAGGTGGCAGTTTGTTGTGTAGGGACCCCTAAGAGGCTGTCTCTTAGTTTAATTCAGTAGCCTTGAACATCAAGATTTGAGATGAGTTACAAGTGTTATGGAAAAGCTTAGTAAGAGAGGAACTCAGAAGTTATCTAGATTGGCTTTTGCAAGGCGTTGCCTAAAACCCAGCTTTGCAGTTTCTGAGTTAGTCTGTAACTTCTTCAACCAGCAGCTCCTTGCATTCTGTCCTTTCATGGAGATACTGGACTGAATAACCCTTCTTTCCTACCTAATATGCCGCACTGCATAGTCTCGCCTTCAGCCTGCTGGAACCTCCTCGTGCCACAGGCTTCCCCCTTCAGCTGCATTCGCCTGGCTCATGAAATGCTTAAGGAAGGTCATGCCTTTGTCTTGTCTTCTGTCTTCCATTGTCATGCCACCAATCCCAGAAATGCCACCTTAAAATAAAAATAAAACAAGCTTGAACCATTGAGGCTTCAAGTCTACAGTGCTCTCCATCAGTGTGAAGTTCAGGGTCGTGTGGTTTAGCACAGTTAGCAGGCAGTGGGCCCGTCTTCATCCTTCCTGAGAGTCTTCTATTTAAAATCGCCTTTGTGATCTGGGTCTCCGACGTCTTCCTGTTTGCTGCACGTTGTTCTCTTTGCGAGAGCAGAATACTTTATGATCGCATGCATTCAATAACGATGCTTCATTGGATTCATCCATTTAAAGCAAAAGTCCCAGTTCACATTTTACATTCTCAGCCACTTCTCTATTACAGGAGTATTCAGGATTGTGACCAGGCGATAAGCTCACCTGTTTTCACTCTACTCTGCAATTTCTATTGCCTCTACTTCCTGCTTTCTGTCTTTCATTTCAGGGCCCTGCGCTGCTGGAGTCGTGGGAATCAAAATGCCTCGTTACTGCCTATTTGGAGATACAGTCAACACAGCCTCTAGGATGGAATCCACTGGCCTCCGTAAGCAGGGAGATGGTTTTTCTCAGAAGACAAAGACTTTGTCTTCCACCAGAGGGCAACTGTGAGATAAAATGCACAATAAGGAGATACAAAGTGACAGTGACCTGTAGAATGATTCTTCACATTGGCTGAAGGCAACCCTGTGTCAATCCAGCTTTTGCTACATTTGCTTTTGTTGTTATTTACTGATAATTATTTTATTATTCCACTTTTGCTCAGTTTTAGACAGGTTCTATATTTTTGTTTCATATGCAATGAATTCAGGGATACTCTACTAGAATGGTCATGGCATTTAGCTTAGATTTGTGAAAGTTAAAAAAAATTAGTGGGCAAGGTAAGAACTATACACTCTGGTTCACATTCCTGTTTCCCTGTTATTTGCTTTTGCTTTTTTGTTTTTGTTTTTTAGGAGACAGGCTCTTAGTTCTGTCACCCAAGCTGGAGTGCAGTGGCACAACCATAGCTCACTGTAAACGTGAACTCCTGGGCTCAAACAATACTCCTACCTCATCCTCCCAAGTAGCTGGGACTACAGGAACATACCAGTACATCCAGCTAATTTTTAAATTTTAAATAAAGACTGGGTCTCACAATGCTGCCCAGGCTGGTCTCAAACTCCTGACCTCAAGCGATCTTTCCACCTTGGCCTCCCAAAGCATATTTGGTTTTTCTGGAAATTGAGTTTTGTTTATTTGTTTGAGATCGGGTCTCACTCTGTCACCTAGGCTTTGGTGCAATGGCACAATCACAGCTCACTGCACCCTTGAACTGCTGGGTTCAAGTGATCCTTCCACCTCAGCATCTTGAGTAGCTGGGACTACAGGCATGCCACCACAGACAGCTAATGTTTTGATTTTTCTGTAGAGGTGTGGTTTCCCAATGTTGTCTAGGCTGATCTCAAACTCCTGGGCTCAGGCTAGTCTTCTGCCTTGGCCTCCCAAAGTGTTGGAATTACAGGCATAAGCCATCATGCCTAACCAAGAATTTATTTTAGCAAAGAAAAATCTAAGCATGTGTTAAATGCCCAGGAATATATTGTATTTGCTTGGCAAGGTAGAGGCACAATATGTTGCATGAAGTAGATGCTCAGTAAATATTGATGACAGTGGTAGTAGTAGAAAGATACAGAAGAGAGAAACAGCATTGGTGGACATGGCTGGGGCTTACAAAACCGCAGGAGGCAGGATGGTATTTTGGTAGTGTACTGACAATCTAATACTAGTTTGTACTGGCAAATCATGCTGGCAAGGAAAAGGGTCATACAGACTCGGGTTAAACTGAAATTGTGTTAATCACTGTCAGTATAAGTTGGGAGAAGCTATCAGATCCTCCTAGCCCTCAGAAAGATAGAGATAGAAATTGAGAATGGCATACCAACCTTGCCAAGAGGGTTTTTGGAAGAATTTGGGATGATGTCGTGTTAAGCAGTCAGCAGTCACGGTGCGTGGTAGGTATAGTTTGGGATTGTCAGTATTCTCACTGTTGTTACTGTTTGTGGTGTTGCTGTCAGGCCCCCATATTGGGAAAGGTGGTACACGTCACTGGACTTGTGATTGGGAGCGCCCTCACCACTTGTTTTGTCAAAGGATAGCAATGTTCCAGAAGAAGGAGAGTTGAGAAAATCAAGACCCCAGGACTCCCCTGAGTCTTCACATTGCCCACAAGGCTTTAGCTATTTATTGACACTTTTCCGCAGGGACCCAAAACCAAACTCCAACTCCCAAACTCGGCACTACAAGCCAAATCTAAAACTAGGTCCCCCAGGCTACTACTCTGAGCCAAAATGAGAATCTATGGAGCAAAACCTAGGGATCCCTATCACTCAGGGCCCTGAAAACCGATGCCAGGCCCTCTTTCTTCCCATCTGAGATTATATTTCTCGAGTGAGGCCGTTCTTGCATTGCTATAAAGAAACACCTGAGACTGGGTTAGTCATAAGAAAAGAGGTTTAATTGGCTCATGGTTCTGCATGCCGTACAGGAAGAAGAGCGCCTGCACCTGCTTCTGGGGAGGCCTCAGGAAGCTTTTACTCATGGCAGAAGGCAAAGCAGGAGCAGGCACTTCATACGGCAAAAGCAGGAGCAAGAGAGATAGTGGCAGAGGCAGGTGCCACACACTTTTAAATGACCAGATCTTGTGAGGACTCACTATGGCAAAGACGGCACCGAGCCATGAGGGATCCACCCCTGTGACCCAGACACCTGGCAGGCCAGGCCTCCAGCACTGGGGATTAAAATTCAACCTACGATTTGAGTGGGAACAAATATCTAACTCTACCATCTCTTATCTCTCTGTTATCTTTAAGTGTTCTTTCACTAAAATAGCCACGATTGTTTCTCCTTGATTTAGGATCCTTGTCTCAGGTATTGTTAATATCCTGAATCAATGGGAAACAAAAAGGCCATGTAATAGATTTCCAAATGGCTGAGATTTCTATTTACCTGTTTTGCATATCCAGCCTTGAGAATTCACGTAAGTGGCTCCACTATAGCCATCCTGAAGAGAACTGAGTGCCAGTTCCTGTATGAAGTGAGAGGAGAAACATACTTAAAGGTAAGGTGTCCACAGAGATCATACTTAGAAAAAGCTCTCAGACATGCTGGGCCACCTCCTTTGAGACACAGCCAGGAAAGCTGAGGAGCATGCTAATGAAGAATGCTTTCCTATACTACTCACAATGAGCACTCTCCATCCTCCGCAAGGGAAACCACCACCAAAAAATGTGAACTCAGAACTTTACTCCAAAGAGCCCTTTTGACATTTTATATTTTGCCACCATTTCCTCTGCCATATTCAAGTTTTGTCTCCAGTTCCTCCTCCAAACACAAGAGCTACATACAGTCTGATCCAGGACTTATTTAACTTAAGTCACAACCCCTGTCCCCCGACTTACTTCCCTAATCTTACTACATAACGCTGCTGTGATCTGAGGTCACCTCTCTTGTCAGTTGCGTTACTATTTAGAAGCTCTGGAATCGCAAGGTGTGAATCACAAGGTGTGGGCCCATTCTCCTCCTGACTTGGCATCATCTGGATGCTTGTTAAAATGCAGATGTCTGGACACTCCACCAGGCCTGCTATGCAAGATTCTCTGTGGGTGTAGATCAGAAATCTGTATTTTTAACAATATAATGTTTTTGTGACCACACTAATATTTGAGAAATCACTACTTTAGATTCTTCATGTTCCTCACATTTGAAACAGCTGCCCTCCAAAGCCATCAGTTGTCTCCCATTGCTTCTCAGTTGCTTTCTCAAAGTTATTACAATCTTTTCACAACTGGCAAGGCCAACTATTAACTGTAAGTTACCTGTCTCCGGTAGCCATAATGTTTCTGGCCTTTACAATTTGACTGCACCTGGGAAAAGTCTTTTATGTAAAAGCGTTCTAACATCACTTTTGAGTTATTTTGAGTTCTCCATAAATGTTCTTCGTTAAAAAAAAAAAAAAATACATTTTTTACGAAGAACATTTACCCCAAAACAGAAGCCATTTGTGGATTACTACGGTCCAAACACAGCCAATGAATTATTAAATTCATCTTTTAAAAATGGTGGTTCACCGGCTGTGTTTGAATCATGTGTATTTTGAAAAAGATATACACATGTATATCTCCAGTCTCTTTTTCAAATACCACCTTTAGCAAAAACTGAGTTTCCAGTATTCCAGCAAATTTCCATACACTCCAGATGGGGCCCACAAATGTCACTTAATGAGCACTTAATCGTGATGTACATGTGTGTATAACAAGATAGGGAAACTGTAGCAAAAGTTTTGTGGCAAAACATTATGGCAAAAAGGATTAGAAGAAAAGATGGACAATGGCAACCAGTTGGATTTGTTGATGCAGCTGAATTTTCCTCCTTTTTAAGTTAGAGTTCTTGTGATGTTGCTAGAGTGATATTTTAAAATGTCTTTTGGGAAAAAAAGAAAACTCTACTCGGAGAAAAGGATGTCTGCGGAATGAGAAACTTATTTTTAAAAGGCACTTGGAAATAAAGATCTGTCTAGAGATAATGCAAATCATAACAGGAATGTGTGATGCACTTAAAGATTGGCACTGATGAGAAATGCAGAAGTGAAATGTGTCTTAGAAACGGATTATTGTGGGAACAGTGGGCTACAACTGACCTGACTCATTGGCCTCCATGGTACATAACTCTTTTGTCTTACTAGGGAAAAGGAAATGAGACTACCTACTGGCTGACCGGGATGAAGGACCAGAAATTCAACCTGCCAGCCCCTCCTACTGTGTAAGCTTCTGGGTGTGGCAGGGATGGGGAGGAAATTAGAGATCTTGGCTTTGTGAGTTACACTACTTAGAGCCAATTTAAGTTGGCAAGCACCTTACAAGTGGCATATGTTGCATATGAGGCAAGGGACTATACATGAGAATGTTTAGAAACCTCCCTTCTTAGACTGCAGGAAGGGAATTATCCTGAAAGCCTGCATTTTCCTGAGACCTCAATGAAACAGGAAAGTACTTAGCCTTGGCTTCCCTGTCTGGAACAGACTTGCTTCATGAATTAGATGTGTGTTCTCAGTATAAAGCTACCTTTTTTTTTTTTTTTTTTTGAGACGGAGTTTCGCTCTTGTTACCCAGGCTGGAGTGCAATGAATGGCACAATCTCGGCTCACCGCAACCTCCACCTCCTGGGTTCAATCAATTCTCCTGCCTCAGCCTCCTGAGTAGCTGGGGCCACCGTGCCCAGATAATTTTTTGTATGTTTAGTAGAGATGGGATTTCACCATGTTGACCACCCGCCTCAGCCTCCCAAAGTGCTGGGATTATAGGCGTGAGCCACCACGCCCAACCTAAACTACCTTTTTTTTTTTATTTTTCAAACTCTGGATCCTTTATCCCAAGAGGGAGCTTCCACCTAGAAAAGAGAAGAATGAACAGACTATTTAGAACTTTAGGAGATTTTGTTATTTCATTTGTTTCTTTTTATTTACTAGCTCTGTATTAATGATATTTTTTAACTGTCAGAATTAGGTTTTAAATGCCTTGTCTGCATTAAAGTATACTTAACTTACAGCTTATGCAGAAAATATACTACATATTAGACAAGAATGCATTAAACGCTTCTTGAGTCTGGGTATGTGCTTCTACCTATTCTGCCATTTTCCTAGAATGTACCAGTCATCATCTTGTCCCTGCTGAAAAACTGACTGTATTGCCCTGCAATAAAGCATGACAAAGCTGGCATTGTGTTCCAGGCTTGCTCAGGAGAATAGAAGACACTTTAGAGTTCACCCTACGTGTGTCTGGTTCTCGCAAGAGTGGAGCATACTGGGGGCAAAGAGGGTCTCTGATACCCCTCCTGTCTTCATTTTTCTGTTGAGTCACCTGATGAAAACAGGACCTCCCTCGGCCGCAACACTGTAGTTCTGGGTATCAGCATGAGGAAGACAGAGTTTCAGGGTTAACTGACAGGTTTCAGTTCTCCTAAATGTGACTCGAGTTGTCATTTACTTCCCTATCAATACATGTTACTGCAGCCATCCAGCCACTGCCTTGGCTTTTGCTATGGTTAAGAAACTCTGCCTTGTAGAGGCCTAGATGGCAGACCCAGACACAAGGGAAGCTTCTAGAAAAGCCAAAATAACCCAAATCTTCCCTGGGGCATGAGAAACCTGGCTCCTTACCTGGAGTGTCCCAGGTCCATTCTAAACTCGTGCCCCCCTTCACCATTCTAAGGCTTCCCCAGACAAGACTCACACCGTTAAGTATGTTTGGGACCAACGAGCAGTCAGCGTTGTGTGGCAGGGCCTAGCATCCTCCCAGCTTCTTTTTCCCTTCCTACAGTGGCATATGTGCACCAAGATCCTCCCAACCATGCCTCCAAACTCCAGCAGCATATTGTTTCACTTTGAAGTTGAGGTGTAATTTCCTGGCAGAGATGACAGTTTTTTAAGGTCATCAAAGGCAGGGATTATTTTATATTCTTTGGATTTCCTGTGTCTAGCACAGAATAGGCATTTAAAGACTAGCTAACTGAAGTGATTCTTCTGGAACTAAGGAATATTCTGTATGAATTGCTGAGAAGTTCTATTTTCTCTTCTCACCCTGTTTCCAGGGAGAATCAACAGCGTTTGCAAGCAGAATTTTCAGACATGATTGCCAACTCCTTACAGAAAAGACAAGCAGCGGGGATAAGAAGCCAAAAACCAAGACGGGTAGCCAGCTATAAAAAAGGCACTCTGGAATACTTGCAACTGAATACAACAGACAAGGAGAGCACCTATTTTTAAACCTAAATGAGGTGTAAGGACTCACACACATTAAAATACAGTTGCACTGAGGCAATGGCCTCAAGTGTCCTGAAAGCCTGCATTTTCCAGAGACCTCAATGAAGCAGAAATGTACTCTTGGCTGCCTTGTCTGGGACATAGACTTTCTTGCATGAATCACATGTGTGTTCTCAGTGAAATAACTAACTACCTTCCACTCTGGATCCTTATTCCAGCAGTTGTTCCAGGAAGCTTCTACCTGGAAAAGAAAAGAAATGAATAGACTGTCTAGAACTTGAGAAGATTTTATTCTTATTTCATTTATTTTTTTTGTTTGTTTGTTTTTATTTTGTTGTTTACTGGCTCTTTTTCCTTCTGTATTCATAAGATTTTTTTAATTGTCATAATTATATTTTAAATACCTTATCTTCATTAAAGTATATTTAACTCATAATTTTTGCAGAAAGTATGCTATATATTAGGCAAGAATAAAATCTAAAGGTTTGCCAAGTCTGTGCCTGTGCTTCTACCTATTTTAACCACTTTCTGGAACACATCAGTCACATCGTCTGCACTTACTGAAAAAGTGACTGCATTCACTCATACTGAAGCACAGCAAAGTTAGCTCCGTTGCTCCAGAGTGAGAACCTTGAAGGTTAGTATCACCTACTACACATGAGGGAATTTCTGACCTTTAAACACAAGTGTTGCTTCAGTGTATCCACTTAACAATGTGGATGGCGGCGATCTAAGAATGGGACCCAGGCAGAAGTCCAATTCTTGTACTGCGTTTTTCTAACTATAAAGTAATCCATGTCTCTCAGCTCCTGATCTTTCATCAGTAAATTATGAATCATAATACCCACTTCATATGAGACTGTGCCGTCTCCTCCCCCAACCTGGCAAAACACCACTCACAGATAATTTCCTTAGATCCACAGTTTACAAGGTAAAAGAAGGTAAAAATGAAACTTTGATGTCCCCACCAGTCTGAGAATCTTCACAGGAAGCTCACTCTGGTCCTATCTCATGAACCATTCCAAGTACCAGGTGGGCTGAAACACCAGGGGTGAACTGGGGACGAAAGCAGAGGTGTTGATTGCCAAAACTCACATGCAGATCTTGCAGCTGTTCTGTGCTCCAGTCAGCAGAGATGCCACACTGAGGAGACTGGATGATGCAACAGCCCTACTGGAGGCAAGACCCACAGGAGAGCCTGAATCCCTGGTTAGATTTCCCACAAAGCCCAGGTGCTAATGTGGAACCTTCCTCTCACTTGGAAACATCTTGAAGAGTTTTTTTCTTTTAAACAACCTTTAAATTCTAGCACTCTCTTAAGTCTTCCCCAGACCAGGAAGCAATAACAGGCCAGTGATGAAGTTACAATATTAAGTACTAAAGGTCTAATACCAGCAAAGAATACCTGTAAAACCTGGAAGAGGTGACCATCTCCTCAAATGTGCAGGCATCAGTGTAAAGACACAAAGATTGTGAAAACTCAGGGAAATAGGATATCATCAAGAGAAGCCAACAAAGCCCCAGTGATAGACCCAAAATAATCAAAGGCCTGTAACAAGTCTGGCAGAATTCAGAAAAATCTTCTTCAAGAGTTCAGGGAAACACAAGAGAGTACACATAAAAAACTAAATGAAATTTGAAAAACCAGGAACAAAATGAGAAATTGACAAAGAAAAAAACTGTAAAAACTCATATAAAAATTGAAACTTTAGACGTAAATGATACAATAGCTAAACTGCAAAGCTCCCTGTAAAGCTTCAATAGCATATTTAATCAGAGGAGAGAATCAGTGTGCTGAAGACGGGACATACGAAATTACCCAATCAGAAGAAAAAAGGAATTATAGGAAATCATCAAGCAAATACAACTTTACATAATAATTCCTAAAGAAGATGAGAGAGAAAAGGGCCATATTTTTAAAATTATAGCTGAAAGATTTTCAAATCTGAAGAAAGATAATAGCATTCAGGTACAGGAAGCTCAGAGGTCACCCATCAAATTCAAAGAGGAATTCCCGAAATCACATCACAATCAAATTATCAAACATCAAAGAAGGAATATTTAAACCAGTAAGAGAAAAAAAATCACCCTCAGTAGAGCCCCAATATGGCTTGCAGCAGATCTCTCAGCAGAAACTTTGCAGACCAAGAGACAGTGAGATATATACTTAAACTACTGAGAAAAAGAAGCTGTCAGCTAAGAATATTGTAACCAACAAACTATCTTTCAAACATGAAAGACAGATAAAGACTTTCCCGGACCAAAAAAACAAAAAACAAAAAAAACTCTGAGGGGATTAATCAACATCAGGCTTGTCATATAAGAAATGCTAAAGGGAGTCCAGCAGTCTAAAAGAGAAGGAAGTTAACATATAACCAGAAAACATCTGAAGGTAGAAATTCAGAATACTCTAATATTGTAATTGTGGCATATATACACATATACTGTAATTGTGGCATATATAATTGTGGATTATATCACTCATATACTGTAATTGTGGCATATGTAATAATTGTGGATTATATCTTAATTATGAAGACCAAAGCTTATTAAAGATGATAACTGCAAGTGATTAAGAGGCAATATAAAGAGATGTAAACAAACGTCAAAAAGTCAAAACGTAGAGGGGGAATGACGTTAAAGTATAGTGGATTTGTTGCTTGCTTTTCTTTGCAATCAAAGCTAAGTTCTTTTCAGTTTAAAACAACCTATTATAACGATAACGTGTTTTATGTAAGCCTCATAGTAACCACAAAGAAAAAAATCTATAATAGAGACAATGAAAGCAAATAGCACAGAATTAAAGCATACTACTGGAGAAAATTACTTAACCCAGGAAGACAGTATAAGACAAAGAAAAAATTTACCAAAACAATGCAAAAAAAAAAAAAAACACTTAAAAGAATGGCAACAGAAAACATTTCCTTATCCATGATCACCTTGAATGTAAATGGATTAGATTCCCCAATTAAAAGACATAGAGTAGGCTGCGTGCTGTGGCTTATACCCATAATCCCAGCAGTTTGGGAGGCCGAGAAGGGTGGATCACTTGAGGCCAGGAATTTGATACCAGACTGGCCAACATGGTAAAACTCCATCTTTACTAAAAAATATAAAAATTAGCCAGCCTAGTGGCACACCCTCTAATCCCAGCTATTCTGGTGGCTGAGGCACAAGAATCTCTTGAACCCAGGAGGTGGAGGTTGTAGTGAGTGGAGACTGTACAACTGTACTCCAGCCTGGCAACAGAATGAGACTCTGTTTCAAAAGAAAATAATAATAAGAAGAAGATATAGAATAGCCAAATGAATTAAACAAGACCTAACTATGTGCTATCCATAGGAAACTGCACCTCTAAAGATATGTGCAAACAGAAATTGAAGGAATGGGAAAGATATTCCATGAAAGTGGAAACCAAAAAGATCAGTAGTAGCTGTACTTATATCGTGTAAAATAGACTCACGTTAAGAACAGTATAGAAACAATAAAGAATGCTATTCATAAAGATAAGGGAGTCAATACAATAAGGGATACAATAATGGTAATGTATATGAACCCAATACTAAGATAAAATGTAAAGCAAATATTAATAGACCTGAAAATAGAGACTGTCTATAATATAAAGTAGTAGGGGACTTTAGCACCCCACTTTTAGCAATAGACAAATCATCCAAACAGAAAATTAATAAATATGAAGACTAAACTGTATTCTAGACCAAATGAACCTTACAGACTTTTACAGAACATTCCATCATCCAACAACTACAAAACACACATTTTTCCCAATAGTGCATGAAGCATTCTTCAGGATAATATGTGAGGCCATAAAATAAGTCTTAATAAATTTAAAGTCAAAATTATATTAAGCATCTTTTCTGACCACAGTGGAATAAAACTAAAAATCAGTGACAGGAGAATTTGACACAGTGGGCATGCACATGTGAAGAAAAGAAGAAAGAAAAAAAAAACAAGAGGAATGTCGGAAACTACAAGTACACAGAAATCAAACAACATACTCCCGAATTACTATTAGGTCAAGAGAGAAATTAAGAGGGAAATTAACATTTTTCTTAAGACAAGTGAAAATGGAAATACACCATGCAAAAATCTATGGAACACAGCAAAAGCAGTTCTATTAGAGAAGCTTATAGTAATAAATGCCCACATTGAAAAAGTAGAAAAATCTCAAATAACTAAAATCTCAAGAACTAAAAAACAAGAACAAATTTAACCCAAACTTAGTAGAAAAAAAGTAGTAGTAGAACAGAATTAAATGAAATAGAAATTTTTAAAACAATACAAAAGATCAACAAAACAAAAACATTTCATAAAATATAAACAGAACAACAAACCTTTACCTAGGCTTACTAAGAAAAGGAGACCACTCAAATAAATAAAATCAAAGATGAAAAAAGGAGACATGACAACGGATACTACAGAAATACAAAAAATCCCAAGAGACCAGGAACAACAATGATAGATTAGAAAGTCTAGAAGAAATGTATAAATTTCTGAACACACACAACCTATCAAAATTGGATTATGAAGAAACAGCTAACTCAAACAGAACAATAACAAGTAACAAGATTGATGTAGTAATAAAAATTCTCTCATCAAAGAAAAGCCCAGGACCCAGTGACTTTACTGCTGAATTCTACCAACATTTAAAGAAAAACTAATGCCAATTCTACTCAAATTTTTTCAAAAAGTTAAAGAGAAGGGACTACTGCCAAACTCATCATCCAAGGCCAACATTATTGTGATTCCAAAACCAGACAAGGACTTCAAGCCAGTATCACTGATAAGCATATATGCAAAACCCTCAATAAAATACTAGTAAATAAAATTCAACAGTAAGATCATTCACCATGATCAAGTTGAATTCCTCTCAAGGAAGCAAGGATGGTTCAACGTACACAAATTACTAAAGATGATACACCACAGTAACAAAATCAAGGATAAATACCATAAAATCATTTTAATTGATGCTAACAAAAAGCTTTCAATAAAATTCAGCATGTCTTCATGATAAAAATTCTCAACAAATTGAACATGGAAGAAACATAACACAATAAAGGCCATAATGACACACAGCTAACATACTGAACAAAAAAAAGTTGAAAACTTTTTCTCTAAGATTTGAAGCAAGAAAAGAATACCCACGTTTACCACATAATTTCATCATAGTACTGAAAGTTCTAGCCACAGCAGTTACACAAGAGAAAGAAATAAAGGGCATCC